GGAAATGCAAAGCAGAGGTGAGGAAATGAACACAGGACTCCTGGATTCCATATCGTGCAAGTCACTATAGAGTAGGTCTATCTGATCACCTCATCCCTGCCTCTTGCAGTGAGATCTTAAAGGAAGAGTCTGGTGGGTCAGACTCGCCATCAGATCTTTCTAGACTCAATCAATCAATCAATCAAGAGCGGATGATGACTGGGACTGGGGGACAGTGAAGAGGGGAACTACCATTAAGGCCCAAAAATGTCATGGGATGATTTGGCTTAGCAACCAAGAGATTGAGTTCCATTGTATAGAACCAAAACATGTCTCTAAAATTCTCTGTCATCATTTCATATTTATTCAAGGAAAAAACTCTTTCCAAACTGAAACTCTCAGGAAAAAGTTCTCATTTCACTGAGGCTGCTAAAGGGGTAGGTTGAAACCTGGGGTTGCTAAGGACCATCTCTGTAACCACAAAGCAGAGTCCTGAGGATAAAGCTAACTTAGGGGAGAAATGAGAAGATTGAGAATATTATTTGAACTCCTGGATGCAGCTTTTCTTTGTGGTGCTGTGGATTGAAATCCCCCTTTTAAACCGCTTTGAGCTAAGGTTCTATTGCTCACAATTTGAAATCCTCCTATCTTGACTATACAAGCCACTCTGTGCTAACACTTAGCACTTCAAGGCATTGTTCTAAGTATTTCACTTGTACTAACTTAGTCCTTATAACAATTCAATGCAGTAGAATTACTCCCTTTTTTAATTGTGGAAATTAAGGACAAGAGGTTAAATAATTTGTCATAGGACACAATACTGGTAAGGGATGATCTGGGATGCAAATCCTATATGGCCCCCCAAAGTCTGCATACCTAATCAACACTATAACACCCCACTGGCAGCCACCCCTATCTGAACTGAAAATCCAACTCTCTGATCCATGGCACTACAATCTTAGGACAGACAGGGCCCAAAAACCTTCTATCAGTCCCCATTTCACCATACATAAAATGAGGACAATCACAGTTTCCCTTCCTCATAGGCTTCCTATGAATATGAGATGAGACAGCACAGAGTTAAGTACTTAAAAAATTCAATAAACAGTAGTCATTATTAATATTACTCTGTAGACCACTCAAGAGCTATAGAGTAGTGCAGCTGGAAAATACTACCAAATGAAAGAGATGTCTTCTTTCATCTGTCAACAGGTGAACAGAAGTGACCCCATGAGTGAGAAATAAGGAGGCATTCTTGTGTCTGACCCACTGCTTATGTTGTTTTCTCTGTTCGGATGGCATCCCATCACTGCTCCAACTCTTGGGGAATACTCCCCAGCCCAAATACAACTTTTCTAGGAAGTTTTTCCAAATAAAGGGCTCCCTCTCACTGCTGAATCCCCACAACATATAATTTGTACCTCATGCTCTGCCTGGTCTCCCTGCCCAAGCCCTCTACCGAACTGTGAGGCTCCCTGAAGGCAGGTACCAGTGTTTACCTAGAATCTGTTTCCTCTTGGGAAAAAAAGCTGAGAGCGCTGGGGAGGCAATTGACTTAAGGGCTAGGGGAGAAGAGAAACCAATCAAAATGGGATGAGGCAAGTCACCAGTAACAGAACTTGGGATAGGTTAGCACAAAGCAAAGTCCTATACATAGAAGCACGTGGGACAGGAAGAGAGGCAAGGGGACTGGGTGTAGAGAAGAGGTGAAAGGAAAGGGGGCATGGGGAACAAGTGCTGAACCTGAATGGGGAGTGAGAGCTGAAAACCATGGGCTACCAGTTCTCCAATGATTTCCAATGACTCATGGAATGCAGATCCCACCTGGTAGATTGAGAGAGGAACAAGACACATCCCTGTACTTCCAGAGCTCCCAGGCCAGTGAGGCTGAGTGGTCAAATATACCAAAAACCACCAGAGAGAAGGTGAGTGGAGCTCTAAATACAATGGAGGGCACTTGTCAGTTAAGACACAGAATGAAAAGACCGAAATGTGCCTCAAGGGAGGGCGCTTATGTGAAGAGGGATGAATGAGGAGATGAGAGGGACACATATGTTCAAGGAGGTAGCAACTTAAAGCAGAAGCACCAAAGACTTGGGGGTGGGCTGGAGGGGTAGAGGGAAAGCCAGAGGGAGAAAGCGCTAAGGAGGATATGAAAGAGAATCATGCACAGGCAGAACCGAAGTAATTACTGAGAGTGGGGTGACCTTATGGAGTCAAGATCCTTTCAAGAAGGTTAAGGAGTCTTTTTGGAGGATAGGTACTTCACAAAGGGGATTCCCAGGAAAATGGGAGTGGGGAGCAGGGCTCAGAGGCAACTCTGAGGCATTTTTCAGGGACTTTTTGTGGGGAAAGGAAAGTCAGCCTAGAGGGCAGAGGTTCTGAAAGTTAAGCGTGCATCAGAATCACCAGAAGGGTTTGTTAAAAACTCAGGACTGCTGGGTCCTGCTCCCAAGTTTTCTGATTCAGCAGGTCTGGGTGGAACCTAAGAATCTGCATTTCTAGCAAATGCTACAGCTGCTGCTAGTCCCAGGAACAGACTTTGAAAACCACTACTGAATAGGAAGAGGTTTTTCAGTGAAGGATCCCTCAAAGTGAAAAGGAAGAAGACTTCTGAAAGGAAAATGGGGGAAAGTTCTCAATAAGTCTTAAAGGAGAGAGTTAAAAGTCTATCTCTGAAGGAAGGTGGTCTTTGGGGGTGGGGCCTAAAAAAACTATCCAAGAGAAAACTCTTTGAACACTGGGATTCCCAGTATATATGTGTGTGTTTGGGGAAAGGGAGAATCTTTAAAAGCAGACACTGAGGATTGGAGGGAGAAGTCTGGAGGATACTGGGGCCTCTGAAGACATAATGGGAGAAGGAGGCTTAGAACCCATAACGGTCTCTGAGCTGGTTTTGGAGGAATGATAATGGTAAAGATAAAGGGTGTATATAAGGTCTTAAAGGCAGTAAATATGACACACTCCTGAATAAGGTTTCTTAGGGGCTATACAGGGGAAATGTAAGGGAGCATTCTGAGGAACTCTCAGAAAGAAAGTGTTGGGGTTGCTGATACAGGACAATTTTGGAGAAAATTCTCTTAAAATTGTCGGGGGAAGGTGTAGTCTCCTGAAAGTTCTGATAGAGGGATCTTTTCCCCCAAAACTCCTCAGACATTTCTGATGAGAAACCTAAGTCTCCATAAGGGCATGTGGGGAAGTGGGAAGAAACCCTTCTGAGGGGAACCTGGGAGTGTCAAGAGTAGGATTTTTTATTTCAGCAGGATATTAAGTATGTGTGTAGGGTCTTCTATAGGGGGTTCCAGCACATTTAGGGGACCCCGAGGGAGTGATATCTCTAGGAAGGTCTCTTCTAAGATTTGAGTAATGATTCAAAGGGTCCTGAGTGTCAGGAGGGTCTCTGAGAAGGATTTCCCGGGCTATCTCAGAAAGGCTCCAGGCGGTTATTGGGATCCTTTGAAGGGGGGGGGGGTCTGAAAATTATATTTCAAAGGGGTCATGAAGAGGATCTTAAGAGTTTTATTGGAGTTCTAAGGATGTTCTTTAGAATAAAGTTAATCTAAAATAGGTCCACAAGGCAGGGGGAACTTCCAAAACCAGGTTATCTAAGAGGGGGTATTTATTCATTTTTTTTTGGTACCAGGAACTAAACCCAGGGGCACTTAACCACTAAGCCACATCCCCAGCTCTTTTTATTTTGTACTTAGAGACAGGGTCTCACTTAGGGCTGGATGAGTTGCTGACGCTGGCCTTGAACTCACAATCCTCCTGCCTCTGCCTCCCCAGTCGCTAGGATTACAGGCATATCAAAGGGAGCCTGGCTCTAGGAAGCGTTCTCAAGGATATGGGAGACAATGAGTGAACTTTTTAGAATATGTAGTATGTGTTACTGGGAAAGATTTGGGATGCATTAAAGGGGTTCTGGAAGAGGTTTTCGGAATTTGGGAGAAAAATTCTCTGGAGATTTCGGGCAATTTCTGGAATTTTAGAATAGAGGTAGAGAGTCTGGCAGAAGGACTGTTGGGGTACCTGAAGATAATCCCTAGAACATCTCAGGGTGGGGAGGTGTGAGGAACATTGAGGTCTCTGGGAGAAATTTGGGGGGATCTGCGGAATGGTCCAAAGGAGACTGTGAAGCGGGAGTCTGCACGGAGGATGGATGCAACAGGGTGACTGGGGGGTCCTCCAGATGAGTTTCAAGGGTCAGGCGTTTCAGTGTGAGTAAAATTGGGGGGAGGGGCGGGGAGGGGAAGGAAATCTTCAGGGGAGATATTCAGGGTTCATCGGGGCATTTGGGATTACGGAAGGATATGAGTGAAAATCTGTAAGGAGAGTTCTGGAATCGGGGTGGGTGGGAGGAAAATTCTTGGGATGTGTGAGGAGGAGACTGCTGGGATGTGCGAAGCAGGTCTGGGGAGGGGGTTTCTGGAATGCCCGGGGGTCTGGAGGCGATTTCGGGGGGAGGTCTTGGAAGGGGAGAGGTTTTGGGGGTGACGACGGCGGCTCCTGGGGGAGACGTGAGAAGAAACGAGGAGTGGCCTCCGCGGGATGTTTTCCGATCAGGAAGGAGGACAGGGACCCGGGGCCAAAGGGCGGGGGTCTGCGGGGAAGGCTGCTGGGACACCCGAGGGTCCCCGGGAAAGGCGGTTGAAAGGCGAGGGCTGCTCTCTGGGGAGGCCTTTCGGGCCGTAGGCGGCAGCCCCAAGAGCTTCCGGGGCTCTCCCGGCTGATCGGCGCGGCTCGGAGGGAGGTCCCCGGGCGGCCCCGGGGCGATCCCGAGGGCGTGAGGAGATTTCGGAGGAAAGCTTCCGAAGGGGCCCGGCAGCGAGAGTGGCGGCCGGCTGCGGGCTTCTCTGGCGGGCCCGGTCCCCGGAGGCCCGCGCTCCGCGCCCGCCGCCGCCCGCGGCTCGGGGTCCCTGAGGGGGCGGGGCCGCCCGCGCGGCCTGGGTCGCCCTGAGGGGAGCCCCGCGCGCCCCGACCCGCCGCCGCCCCGCGCCCGCCCGGCCCGGCCGGAGACTCACCGCCTCGGCCTCCGCCGCCGCCGCCGCCGCCCGGGCCTCCTCAGGCCACCGCCGCCGCCGTCGCGCCCTCTCTGGCCCGCGAGCTCCCCTCCCTCCTCCCGCACCGACCACCGCCGCCGCCACCGCCGCCGTCGCGCTGCGTCACCGCGCCGTGCGTCACCGCCCCAGGCCCCGCCCCGACGGGGCCACAGCGCGCCGGCATTAGCTTACGCCCGGGTGACGAACGGCGCGCCAGCCAACGGGCGGCGAGGGCAGCCCGAAGGGCGGGAGGTGTGCGCCGAGAAAGGCGGGGTCCTGGCCAGGAGGGGAGCGACAGGGCTGGAACGAGGCCCAAGAGGCCCGCCCCCTCCTCAGAGGGATTGGTCGGACGTGGGGGTGACGGGCAGTCCGCCAGGTCTGGGGCTCCGGGCGGAGGGCGGGGAAGGGGAGGGGCGCGCGCCAGGTTTCCAGGGCAACGGGCCCGGCGGAGCCCGGGATTGGACCTCCAGGCCCACAGGGGGCAGCCTCGCGCGGGTCTACCTCACGGCCCGGAGCCAAGTCACAATTCCTCATTCTGGCGTCCAGGGCCTTTTCCCCGCCCCTCTGACACGCCCCACCGAGGGCCTTTACCCCGCCGCCGGGGAGCGTCTGGCAGAGTGCGTCGGGCTCCAGGGTCCCGGCGGCCCGGCCTGCCTCTCTGAACCCCTCGCAGACCGGACTAGCGAGGCGAGATCGACCCTTTAGGCTGGAAATAGAGAAGGCGTAGTAAGCGCTCGGCGTAAAGGAGGCCGTCAATAAACGGGAATGATTGCTACGACTTTTGTTGTAATCTAGCTAATCCACTAACTGTGCAGCATCGGGGTGAATTAATCAGAATGGGGCCCGTGCTCAGAAGGTTCCTAGGTGACACAGACGTGGCTTGTTACAGGAATTCAGAGACTTGCAGTCGGGGTGGAGGCTGGACTTCAGGGCTGGGTGTGGTGAGAAGTGAGTTGCAGCCAGGTGTTTGACCACTGGAGGGAGTTTGGACTTGTCCTGGGGCACGGGGGAGCCAGGGAAGGGATTCAAGAAGGATAGGGTCATGGCGAGTTGGGGATTTGGGGAGGTGTCTCTGGCTTATATATGGAGGGTAGATTGGAAGGAATGGCACTAGGATCTGGGGGTCCAGGGAGGCAGCTGGGGACAGGGGCAAAAGAAGGGTTGCACCAGGGCGGGACTGTGGGCAGGGGAAGAGGTACAGGTGGGAGGGACGCCCAAGAGGTAGACTGAACAAGCTCTGAAACTGGCTGCGGGGGAGGGGAGTCCAGGACAAAGCTAGAGTTCTGTCTGGGAGATTGACCCCTGGGGAGAAGCTCAGTGCGGGATGCCCAGCAGAAAGGGTACCCAACCGAGGAACCTGAACCTTGAAGAACTGCAGCTGGAAACCAAGGTTAAAGGATCATGAAAGATAGTAGTTGAAGCTCTGGGAGTAAGTGACCTAGCCCAGGGAGAAGAAAGAACCAATGGAGACTGGACTTCATAGAACCCTGAGAAATGGGAACTCTTGAGAAAAGGAATGACACTCTCAAGGATGATTGAGAACGGACAGTAAGAGAGAGAGGAGGAAAACCAGGTGTTCGCGGCCTCACAGATGCTGGGAGGAGGCCATTTCAAGCCAGGGTGGAGGACATCACAAACCCTGCCTACTCCATATAAACACTCCTGCTGTATGGAATGGTTGTGCTCAAATCAATGCTGGTTTGTTTATTCATTCACTGAGATTTCTTGAGTGTGTCAGGCTCTACTCAAGGAGGTAGAAATAGGACAATGAACCAGACCAAAAAAAAAAAAAAAAATCCCTGCTGCTGTGAGGCTTCCACTCTGGTGGAGGGACACAAACAATAAATAGCAAAATACAATGTAACTTGGTGGTAAGTACCCTGAGAAAAACAAAGCAAGCTAAAGGGATGGAGTGGGGCAGTCAGAATTATTTCAGATAGGGAACAGCCTCTATCAGGTGAATCTTGAGCAGATAACTGAACGAATGAAGGAGCGATCCAAGAGGGAAAGAATTCCATAAAAAGGGAACAATATATACAAAGGCCCTGTGGCAGGGTCATTTACAGAATCAAAGAGGCTAACATGACTAGAGTGGGGTGAGCCCAAAGGAGAATAGTGGAGGACAAGGTCCAAAAGGAAGTGGTAGGGAGAAATGCAAATAAATATAGTTTTCAAGGTCACTGCAAGGACTTTGGCTTTTACTTTTACCCAAAGGAGATGGGAGCCATGGGTGGGTTTTGACAGAGATGTCTTTTTTTTTTTTAAACCATGCTGGGAATCAAAGCCAGAACCTTACACATGCTAGGCAAGTACTCTGCCACTGCACTATATACCCCAGGGATGTCATCTGATTGGTTTTATGAAGCTCCCTGCAGTTACGTGAAGAATAGTTGGGGAGGTAGGACAGAGTCAGGGAATCAGCATGGAGGCAGCTACCAAATCCAGGCAGGAGATAAAAGTGGGCAGACCTAGGAGATGGGCTCAGGGGGGAGAAGTGGCCAGCGTCTGGTTATATGCTGGAGTCCAGAGCTGACCAGTTCCTATGTACGTTGCAAAAGAAAAGATAAAGGTCAAGCATGAGCAGGACATCCAGGTGGAGATGTGAAGTCTTGTGTTCAGGGAGAGCCCCAGACTAGAGAAAGAATAAGGGTGCCCTTTTTGAAAACTGGGTGAGGTCAGGGCAAATAGAGGCGCCGCAAGGACTGAGCCCTGGGGCACTCCAATGTCAGGAGAATCAGCAAGAGACTGAGAAGGAGCAGTCAGAGGAGTAGGAGGAAAACCTGGCCAGTAGGTCGTCCCCAAAGCCAAGATGATTCAGGGAACAGGTAGTGAGTGACCACGCTGGACACAGCTAATGAGGACTGAGAGCTGACTGTTAGGGCCACACCATGGATGGCCTGAGTGACCTGACAAGGGGTATCAGTGGAGAGGGCGGGGGAGGAAGCCTGGTTGGAGAGGACTCAAGAGAAAACAGGGAGGGGAAATAAAAGGCAGCAAGTGCAGATGACTCTTTTAAGAAATATTGCTGAAAAGGGAAGGAAATGAATGAGCAGCGGTTGGGCAGGAGGTAAGTTTTTTGTTTTTAAGATGGAAGGAATATGCCTGTATTCCAGGCTACTTGGGAGGCTGAGGAGGGAGGTTGCCAATTCAAGGCCAGCCTCCACAACTCAGTGAGACTGTGTCTCAAAATAAAAAATAAAAGGGGCTGGGGACATTGCTCAGTGGTAGGGTGCCCTTGGGTTCAATTTCCAGTATGAATAAATAAATGAAGAAAGAAAAAAGAAAGGAAGAAATGAATGAATGAATAACACTACATGTAGGCACAGGGGAAAGATTCAGTAGAGATTATGAGAATATTGATGAGAGGTGAGATAGGAAGAGTCACGGAGATTCCCTTGATCAGGAGGGGTGGGGCCGGGGACAGGTGGGACACCTGCCCATCATGATGCGGGTGAATCAACAGAATGAGCAAAGTGGGGGTAGGACCCTGGGAAAATTTTCTTTTGTGTGCTTGAATTTTCTCACTAAAAATAATTACTTTCCTTTTATTTCTTCTTTATGTGACAGTTAAGATTATTATATTGATTTTTAAAATTTTATTTTGTGTAAGTAGGTCACATGACCTAGGAATTTTCATTTCAAAATGGAAACCAGGGCAATATAAAACTAATTTTTTTAAAATAGGGGTATGGAGTTGAACACGGTGGTACACACCTGTAATCCCAGCTACTCAGGAGGCTGAGGCAGGAGAATGGCAAGTTTGAGGCCAGCCTCAGCAATTTAGTGAGACCCTGCCTCAAAATTTAAAAAATGAGCTGGCATGTAGCTCAGTGGTAGAGCACTTGCCTAGCTTTGGCAAGACCCTGGGAAGCTTGATCCCTAATACCACACACACAAGAGGGATACAGGTCGGACAGGGCTTGACTCCATTGTTGTAGGGCCTCAGGACCATTATGAGGTCTTTGGGTCCATGAGATTGAATAAGTGTGTAGGAAAAAAAATTCCCATCTTTCAGACAATATGGAGGTGACTGTCCATCAACTGACGTATGGACAGCTAGGGAGTATGACTAGCAAAAGTCTCTGTACCCCTCTTTTCTTAACTCTGGGATTCGGATATTTCAGATAGGGATAAATAACCCAGGAAGGCTTCTTGGAAGAAGAGAGGGGCAAAAAGCCAAAATTAACATCTACTTTTTTTTTTTTTTTTTCTTTTGGCACTAGGGATTGAAGCCAGGATGCTTAACCACTGAGCCATATCCCCAGACCTTTTTATTTTTTATTTTGAGACAGGGTCTTGCTAAGTTGCCTGGGGCTTTGCTAAGTTGCTGAGGCTGGCCTCAAACTTGCAATCCTCCTGCCTCAGCCTCCCAAGCCACTGGGATCCCAGGTGTGCGCAATGGCGCCCGGCTAACGGCCCGTCTTTATTGAGCACCTCCACCTTGCTGGGACCCATCAGGGAGGGAGCTCTTTTGTCCTCATGACAATCCCAACTCAGAGGGGCAAATTTACATACTCAAGTCAGTCGCAGGGGTGGGCAGTACTAGAACCCTGAGCCGAGTGATGGCAAAGTCTGCCAGGTCTGACAGATGGGGGGAAGGAAGAGGGGGAGGAGCCCCCGTGACAGTTGTCCCAGAAAGGGCATAAACAGGATGTGGTGTTGGGTGAAACCTTCCCCCTGCCCTGCAGCCCGCCCCCCGCAGCCCTGGTCCCCACCCCTAAAAGACAGCGGAACTGAGAAAAGAAGAGGCCCGTGGACAGGAGAGACCATGGTCAGTGGCCAGGGGCCAGCGGGAAGGGCTGGGGGCTGGACTAGGGTTGGGGCAGGGGCTGGGAGGGCCCTGAGTAGAGGTGGGATGGAGGGGTCACCGGGAGGGACCGAGACCCAACCGTGGCAAAGTTGGCAGGGAAGAGAGACGGAGGTTCAAGGCTCACTCCAAGGCAGCCACCTCTGGGTGTCCTTGAGAACCCACCGGGACCCCCGGGGAGGGCTGGGATTAGCCTCTGCCCTTGTCCCCCCAGCTGCGTCCTGGGGAGGCAGGCCCCTGCCTCATGTTCACAGGCGCCTCAGATGGGCCAGTGGGACCCCCTTTTCATGGTGAATGGCAAAATTCAGGTTTGGGGAAGGAAGGAGGGCGAGGCCAGGCCGGCTCAGCCCTTCCTGGTCCCTCCTGCAGTCTGACTCGCTGGTGGTGTGCGAGGTGGACCCAGAGCTAAAGGAAAAGCTGAGGAAATTCCGCTTCCGAAAAGAGACAGACAACGCGGCCATCATAAGTGAGTGACATCTGTCCCCACAGAAGGCCAGGAGGGGGAGGGGACAAGCAAGGAGGGCCAGGCTAGCGGGGTCCCTTGGATGGGAGGGGTGTCTCACCCCCATGTGTCATCCCTCTCCAGTGAAGGTGGACAAAGACCGGCAGATGGTGGTGCTGGAGGAAGAATTTCAGGTGAGGGGCCGTGTGGATGGGACCCCCAGAGGCACAGGGTGGGCCTAGGGAGCACAAGGGACTGGACAGATAGATACACAGAGCCCCATACTGGGGACCAGAAAGTTCTGGTGCAGTGGTGACCCTAGGCAAGGGACTTCGCCTGATGTTTCTCTGTGTCCTCACCTGTGACGTGGGGGAGAATAGACCTACTTCATGGGGTCGTTGGCAAATCCAATGGTTTAATCCTGTCATGGATCTAACAGGTCCTGGAACATAGTACATGCTCAATAAAGTGGTAAAGATAATGATAGTACATCCTGGGCGCCTAACTGAGTTTCCCGGGTAGTTAAGAAAAAGCAGGAGACCTTGATAAATGGATGGACCTCACCCTCTTATGGCCCCACTCTTTTTATCAGTCCTATGGGGACAATCATAAAGCTTTTGTCATGAGGTCATGATAAGGATTTATGAAGGGGTCATAGAGCCTGGGGCTGGCACTGTTGGCCCGGGGAGGGTGCCTAGCGGTGAGCTGGGCTCTCTCAAGCCCTCTGAAAGGAAGTATTTATCATGGGAACACAGATTCACATCTGAACTCTGCTGCTCAATATCTGCAATCTTGGACAAAGGACTTGACCTTTCTAGGTCTTAGTTTCCTCAACAGTCAAGTGGCCATAATAATAGGATCTACCCCATAGGGTTCTGAGAGAGCTCAATGAATTCATCCATTAGATTAACCTTAGAATAGTGCCTTGGTTTATAGTAAGTGCTCATTTAGTGATGGTCATTTTGTTTTGTTTTGTTTTCTTCTCTTTCTTTTTGCCTCAGAATATTTCCCCAGATGAGCTCAAATTGGAGTTGCCAGAGAGACAGCCCAGGTATTCTGAGGGGAGGACCAGGCTGGGGGAGAGGGTAATGATGGAGGTTTAGGCTGAGGACTGCTTGGGCTCCAGTCCTATGCATGGACTCAGGATCTCTGTGTTTCAGGCCAAGAGTTCATATTCTAGAACTTTTTATTTTTCAGAACTAGGAATGGAACTCAGGGGTGCTCCACCACTGAGCTACACCCCATCCCTTTTTATTTTGTGACAAGTTCTCCCTCAATTGCTGAGGCTGGCCTTGAACTTGCAATCCTCCCGCCTCAGCCTCCCAAGTGGCTGGGATTACAGGCACGCATCAGTGCGGCTGACTCACTTTGTTTTTTTTTTAAATAATGATTTCCTTTTTTTTTCAGTACTTGGGAATGCTTTAGGTAGAAGGATTTTTTTTTTTTTTTTCTTTTTGTGGGTTGGAATCTAGGACCTCACACGTGGTAATGGTAAGGTAGAATCCTGGGTGAAGCCACATGGGCCTGGTGCTTTTTTGAGGAAGAGCCCTTTAACCATTTCTGCAAAATTGATCTGTTTAGATTTTTCACCTCAACTGAGCTCATTTGGATCCCTGGCTCTAGGTCTCAACTGGGATCAGCTTTGTGGGCGATTGACAGTTGCATAGGTATACTCAGAAGGGGTCATCACACCTGAGGAGGTCAATTTGACATTCTTCATAGTTTTATCTTTGAACTTGAGTTTTATATGAAGTCTGGTGGGACAATGGAACATGAGCTGGGGGCCTGGAGCCTTAGCTCACATGAGGGCCCGCCTCCTGCCACCTCATCTGGATGGGTTCTCTGCTTCTGCCCTGCGGGCATGAGGACCTCAGGGCCTGGCCCACAGCCCTGCAACACAACTTTACGGGGGGCTCCTGTGGGCATCTGCACTTCCTTCACAAGAACTCACAACTTTAGCTGGTGCAGTGGTGCACACCTCCCAGGGGCTCCGGAGGCTGAGACAGGAGGATCACAAGTTCAAACCCAGCCTCACAACTTAGTGAAGCCCTAAGCAACTCAGCGAGACCCTGTCTCTAAATAAAATACAAAATAGGGCTGGGGATGTGACTCAGTGGGTAAGCGCCCCTGAATAAAACACACACACACACAAAAACCTACACAACTTTAAATCACAAATTTAAAAAGACTCTTAATCAATATAGAGAAAGACCGCAGAAGAAAGGAAGATATTTTGCTGCTTTCATTTTATTTTATTTTGGTATTGGGGATTGAACCCAGAGGTGCTCTACCACTGAGCCACATCCCCAGCCCTATTTTGTATTTTACTTAGAGACAGGGTCTCACTGAGTTGTTTAGCGCCTTGCTTTTGCTGAGGCTGCCTTTGAACTCACGATCCTCCTGCCTCAGTCTCCTAAAAAGGGCTTTGCATCTTTGTTTTGTACACTGGGCTTGGAAAATTATGTAGCTAGCCCTGGATAGGGTTCCAGTATACAGGACAGTATTGCAGAGTGTTTGAGCATTCATTGGCGCTAAATTTCCTGGGTACCAATCTTTGCTGTATCCATAGAACCTTGGGTCAGTGACTCTGGACCTCAGTTTTCCAATTTGAGTTTTGTAAATAACTATAGCACCTATTTCATAAGTTTATTGTGAGTTCAGTAAACCCTTACTATTATCATTAGGCAGACTGAGAGATAGATAGATAGATAGATGATAGACTGCAGTGCTGGGGATTAAACCCAGGGCCTTGTGTGTACTAGGCAACTGCTCTACCTCTGAGTTGTACTTCATCCCTCTTGCTATTATTATTTGTGGTCCTGAGGATTGAACCCAGGGCCTCATTCATGCTAAGCAAATGTTCTACCACTGAGCTAAACCCTCAGCCCTTTTTATTGATATAGGATCTTGCCAAGTTCCTGAGGCTGGGCTCGAACTTATGATCCTCCTGTCTTAGCCTCCTGAGTAGCTGAGATTACAGTCGTGCATTACTATACCCAGCTGCTGTTATTATTTTCAATCACTTGTAGTGTTTGAGTCAGTGTCAAGCCTCGGTTCTGAGTTTCAATCAAGAGTCAGGCTTGTGGATTGGGGGGTGGCTGTTGGGCCTGGGCTTCATCCTATCCTGAGTGTGAATTCCCTTTCATGATATAGGTTTGTGGTCTACAGCTACAAGTATGTGCATGAGGACGGCCGAGTGTCCTATCCTTTGTGTTTCATCTTCTCCAGCCCTGTGGGTGAGGCACGGCTCTACCCTTCCTAAGGAACAGGTCTTAGATTCTGTGTATGGGGTGTGTACACCAGGGTATATGAATGCAGGCATGTACATGTGCATACATGTATGTGAAAGTGTATTGGTGCCTGTGTTTATGTGTGTGTGATTATGTGTTTGTGTGCAAATGTGTACAGGCACCTGGGTTAAGAGTGTGAAGATCAGGCTGTGTGAACCCTTGTAATCCAGCAGCTTGGGAGGCTGAGGCAGGAGGATCCTGAGTTCAAAGCCAGCCTCAGCAACTTAGTGAGGTGCTAAGCAATTCAGCAAGACCTTGTCTCTAAAATGCAAAAAAAGGGCTGAATATGGGGCATGGGGCTGGGATGTAGCTCAGTGGTAGAGCACTTGCCTAATATGTGCAAGACCTTAGGTTCCATCTCTGACACTGAAGAAAAAAAAATGATACAAGAAGGAGAACACGTGCGGAGCGCTTGTGTGAGCGGCATGTGGCACGCGCAGTGGTGAGGGCGGTGAGGGGGCTCTGATTCACCAACAGCATCCTCCGACCTCAGGCATAAGCCCATCTCTTTTACCTAGAAATTTCTATCTGGTCCCCAAGTCATCTCCAGAGGCCCTCAGGACAAATCGAAGCCCCGAAACAAACCTAAAAACTCTGAATTACAGCTTCAGAGACCTCCTAGAACAGCTTCTAAGACGCTCTGAAGACTGCGAGCCTGCAGGCCATGCCGAGGTTTGTCAGCCCTCCTGGGCCCCCAGATGTGCCCTGTCCTCTCTCCTACACAGGCTGCAAGCCGGAGCAGCAGATGATGTACGCGGGCAGTAAAAACAGGCTGGTGCAGACAGCGGAGCTCACAAAGGTCCTGGGGCACGGGCTCCCAAGTACAGGCGGAAGGGTCCCGGGGCTGGGTCCGAGGGAGGCGGGCGGGAGGAGGCTCCAGGCCTGAGTCCTCCCGGACCGGATCCTAACGCTGAGCTTGCCCTCGTCCAGGTGTTTGAGATCCGAACCACCGACGACCTCACCGAGGCCTGGCTCCAGGAGAAGTTGTCTTTCTTTCGTTGACCTTTGAACCAGGAACCTGAATTCATGATGTGTGAGTCCCCAGCAGGACCGGAGCCTCAGACGCCGTAGGATCTGAACATCTACGACTGGAAACACATTAAAATGCCGGAACTCAGAGACCTCGGTTCTGTCCTGTCGAGTTTCTGCCGCTCACAGTCCTGCAGTACCAGCCTGTGCCGGCAGGGGGCGGGCCGACCTCGTGATCCAAGAGCTGGGAAAGGACCCTGTGGGAGAAAAGGAGGTGCCCGCAGGATTTCCTGGGGAGGCTGGAGATGCGGGAGGTCTAGGTGTCCTGGAAAATGAGTGGGAACAGCTGAACCCATGCACGGGTCACTCCTAAGGGGAACAAGGACACCTAATAGTAAAGAAGGTAGGGTATCCATTTCTGTCCCAGGTTTCTCCACTCCCAAGCTCTGGGCTTCACAGACATGAGCCTCCGCTTACTGCTGTTTTCCTCCGCCGAGTCCTCAGGCAGAAAAAAGATAAAGTCCAAAAAGTTTCCAAAGGACCAAACATAATTGCTCCAGGAGCCTGGGAGCTGCTGGGGTGGTTGGCTGGGGAGGATGGACAGGCCTGAGGGTCCAGGGCCGTGGGAAGTCCCCCAGGATCCCAGTGGACCCCAGAGGGGCTGAAGAGTCCGTGAAGGGAGACCCCATCCACCCCATTTCATTTCTTTCCTCCTTTCTTCTGGCACCTCTGGGCATTGACCTCTCTCAGGTCTTCTGTCTCCGCCTCCCAAGGACATTCATGGACCACCTATGGTGTACTGGGCTCTGAGAATTCTGAGACAGGCAGGTCTTCACAGAGATGAATCATGCTCTTTCTGCCTCTCTCTGCTTCTCTCTCATTGTCCCTCTCTATCCCCAGGTTCGGGGACCTGGGAACTCCCTCCCCCAACTTCTTTCCAGGTTACCTGTAGAGGTGGCTGTTGCCATGGTAACAGTGACAAAGTGACCTTGAACCTGGTGTTCCTGGAGGAGGGTCTAAAAGCCTAGCTCTGACCCTGTCCTCTCCTTCCCAGTCCTAACACAAGGTCTTCTCGCCACTCCACTCTGCCCCATCCCTTGCCCCCCTGTGCCCTTGTCCCCAGTAGGACAAGTTCTTTGCAGGAGGGGTTCAGGATAGAATCACTCTACCCTGGGCCATAGAAAAATTCCCCTGCTTCAATTTTCTGGGGTGTTGAGTGGAGCTCTTCTCCTTTCTCTTGGTGCTCCCCACCTCCATCCCTCTACCTATCCCACTGATCACAGCCCCAGTGCCTGATGGATGGAGATGGAAAAGGAAGAGGGCTGGGATAAGAGAAGTATTCAATTAAGATAACAAGGAACTGGCCTGGGAAGGTCAGAGAGGCAAAGGGACTTGTCCAAGGTCATACACTTACATAATCAAATAAATGATAATAGATAATTCTCCTGTTGGGGCTCCCTATGTACAACATACTTCTGTAAGCACTATGTATTAACTAATTTAATTCTTACAATAGCCCACGAAGAAGGTACCATTACTGTCCCCAATTTTAAAGATGAAGAAACTGAGGCACAGAAGCTAAAATTGGTCTCTTGAAGCCTCATGGCTAGATGGTCTGTACAGTTAAAATACCAGCCCCAGGTCACCTTGTGATCAATGGCCATACTCTCTCTGCAAGAGATTTAGAGAACCATCTCCTCCTCTTCCTTCCCCTCCTTTCCTGCAGTTCCCACCCATCCATGGCATCCAGGCTCTTGATTGTAAATAATCCAATCAGAAGGGAGCATGTACAAGGACTTGCCCAATCAGGAGCCAAGAGTTTGGAAAGCAAAAACCAATCAAAGAGGGAGACTCTGGGAGGCAGTCCAATGCAGAGTGGGTATGACTAGAATGGTGGAAGGACCAATCAGAGAGGCCAGAATAGAATCTGTTATCCAATGAAGAGTCAGCACATGGGGTGTGGCTTTGGGTTTAGTCTGACTCCTCAGAGGGGCGGTACCAACCAGGGACCACCTTTTCTAGTTCTGCCAGCCGAGCTTTTAGACTCCCACAGATCCAAGCTCCCTAATTTTTAAATCGGGCCTCTAGACTTTCCCTGAGGGATGGTTCCCTCCTAATCTTGAATGTGAGCATGGCTTATATTTCAAAGTCTGGTCTTTAGGGAGGAGTTGGGAGGAGAAAACCCAGTCTAGGCATGAAGCGCCATGCCTGGACCCAAAGTTAGTATGGAGGCCAAAGCGGAAGGATGGGCTCAGGCTGAGGGTGTAGGCGGTGGGTGGGGTCCAGGCTGGGGAAGTCTGATGTTCTATACTTTGGGGTGGTCTCTAAGAAATGTGGGCCTCCTCTGAGAGGACTGGGAAGTCACTCCTAAGGGTCAGATTGGGGGTAGTTTTTGCTGTGGGGCAGAGCGTAAGACAGGGGGTGGAGCTTAGGCTTGGGGCGGGGCCTATATTGTTGAGGACGAGGATTGGTCCTAGGAAGTCTGGGCGGGGATGGGGTGGCGCCTGCCAGTACTCCTAGGGTTCAGGAGGCTGAGGCAAGAGGATCTCCAGTTCAAAGCCAGCCTCAGCAAAAGCCAGGCAGTAAGCAACTCAGTGAGACCTTGTCTCTAAATAAAAAGATAAAAAAGGGCTGGGGATGTGTGTCAGTGGTTAAGCCTCCCTGGATTTAATCCCTGGTACAAAAAAAAAAAAAAAAAAAAAGATGTCTGGGATAAGATTAGGGTCCCAAGGAAACAACTACCCCGCCCACATCCACCTGTTGCTGTACACTTGAGGCCAGTGAGCAAGCACTTCCTGACAAGGGACATCCCCCGGTGCTGGGGCACACCCCTTCCCTGTTAGTGATTGCAGGCTTGGGAAGGGTTACTGAGGTATCTGAAGGGAGTTTGCAGCCGGCCTCGCTCCCCAGCCCCCGCCCCTCTTTCTTCATATATATTTTTAGTTGTAGGTGGACACAATACCTTTATTTTATTTTTATGTGATGCTGAAGATCGAACCCAGTGCGAGGCAAGTGCTCTACTACTGAGCCACAACCCCAAGCCCCCAACATTCTCTTAAGGAGCACTCAAGAACGCGTTTACTGAATACCTAAGGGGCCAGTCTCCGGTGTCCAAGCTGTGAAGAGGCTTATCTTTCAGATGAGATGGGGGTGGTCAGGGTGGTATGGCAGTAGACAGAGGCTTTCAATGACTAGAAAATAAACAATGACACTGGGCATAGTGGCTCATGCCTGTGATCCCAGCGACTCAGGAGGCTGAGGCAGGAGGATTGCAAATTAAAGGAAGACCAGCTTCCGCAATTAGTGAGGCCCTGTCTCAAATTTTTTTAAAAAAAGACTGGGGATGTAGTTTAGTAATAAAGTGTCCCTGGGGTCAATCCCCAGTACAAAACAAACAACAACAAACCAATGAACCACAAAATAAGCAATAAATAGAAAAACAAATAAATGATAAGATTCTTTCAGGAAGTGTTAAGTATTACGAATGGTAAGAGCTGTTGGGGCGCTTTGCTGCCACTTTAGTCCCTAGAAGCATACTCCTGCTTTTTTCCATCTCCAACATTTATTATGAAAAATTTCAAACATGCAGCAAAGTTGAAATAATTTTCCAGTGAACACCCGTATATCTCCCACCTAGATTCTACCGTGAACATTTCACAGTGCTTGCTTTATTACATAGCTGTCCATCAACTCATCTTAATTTTTATGCATTTCAAAGTAATTTGCAGACACTGGAACACTTGGTGGGACCTGAGGGGTGTGTGTATGTGTGTGCGCGCGTGCGTGTAAATTGGGCTTGAAAGGGAAGGTCTCCTGAAGGGATTACGTTTATGACCTGAATGAAAAGAAGAACCAGCCCAGGAAAGGGGGAAGAGAGCCAAGCCCGGGGCTGCTGTGAGCTGGGGGGTAGTGAAGGCTCACTGAAGCTGGGAGGTAAGAGTGGCTGGGAATGAGGTCAGGAGGTGGGCAGGGGCCCGAGCTCACAGATCTGTGAAGGAGGCACCTCTGCCGGGCCTCAGGCTCTTTGGTTCTCCATCTTTGTGTGTCTGTTTCTCTTATTATCTTTTTCCCCTCACCCCTTCCCACTCCAGTCCGGTCCAGGCCTGCCCTCCTTCCTCTTCTTCCCTTCACTTTCATCCTGTTCTACCCGGTGAATTTGGGCAAGAGACCAAACCCCTGGATGCCTCTCTTTTCCTCATCCATAAAATGGGGATAGTAAGGGGACTCTTCGTCATGAAGATTGGATGAACTTCATATAGATACGTGAAGCACTTGGAACCACTGCTGGCACACACTAGTGCTGCATATGTGTTCACTTTTGGTGTGTGATTGTGTTTTGTTTTGTTCTTGGTTGGGATTAACCACTGGGGATTGACCCCAGGGCCTTGTGCATTTGAGGCAGGTATTCTACCACTATAATCCAGACCTTTGTTCTTACCCTTTTCCCTCCTTCCATCCCCCTGCCCTGGTCCCATGCTCCAGTAGGAACCATGGGGTTGGGGTGGAGATGAGGCCTGTGTTGGGGGGTGGGGGGTAAAGGCGGAGAGGTGGAGTCTAGACAGTGTAGAGATTGTGAGTGTCCTCTGAGGCACTTGGTAGTTGTGAGTGGAGTCAAGGTTCACTACAGGGAGGATCTGCAGAGGCAAGCTTGCTCTGGGGCCAGGGCAGGCCTCATGTGCTGGCACAGTTAGGAAGAATATTCAGAAGGGGTTTGGTGGAGGATTGCCATACAGTAGGATCAAAAATGGGAATGATTGGAGACTCCAGGGATCTGGGGGACTGCAATAAAACATTTTGAAGCTGGAACAGTGGCACATACCTGTAATATGATCCTCAGGGAGGCTGAGGTAGGAGGATTGTAAGTTGGAGGCTAGGCTCAGCAGTTTAGTGAAAGCCTGTCTTAAAATAAATAAAACAATTGGCTGGGATCTAGCTCAATGGCAAAGCGCTTGTCTAGCATGCACCAGGGGCTGGTTCTATCTCCAGCATGAACCCAAAAGGACAAATTTTGAGGGGAGTTCTTGCTGGGTTTTTGGGACCTTGTGAGTTTTTCAGGAGATGGAGAGTGGCCTGAGACATTTACTGGGGTTTGAGGGAGGGCCTGGGAGGTCAGCTCTGGGGTAAAGATTGGAGCAAAGGAGCTGAACAAGGAA